CCTCTGTAGCGTGGATCCTGGTGTATGTGTGTACGTGTGTCCCTCTGTGGCGTGGATCCTGGTGTGTGTGTGTGTGCGTGCGTGTGTGTGCGTGTCCCTCTGTAGCGTGGATCCTGGTGTATGTGTGTACGTGTGTTCCTCTGTGGCGTGGATCCTGGTGTGTGTGTGTGTGTGTGTGCGCGTGCACGCGCGGGTCCCCTTTGTAGTGTGCATCCTGGTGTGTGTGTGTCCCTCTGTGGTATGGATCCTGATGTGCGTGCGTGTGTGCGGGTCCCTCTGTGGTGTGGGTCCTGGCGGGGCGGGGGGCGGCGGCGGGACCCCTCCAGGCCCGGGCGCGGCAGAGGTGGGCCGAGGCGGTCCGGAGCAGAGAAGAGGCGTCCAGCGGCGGCGGCCATGCTGCAGGAGAGCGCGGAGCTTTCCGCGGTGCTTGACAGAACCATGTTCCGTTTGCATCGTTCCACCACATGGTTAGATCAAGCACAAGGGAAAGCGCCGCGGCCAGGCGGCCGGCGAGAGTCAAGAGTCAAGGCCGGGGAGGAGAGAGACAGAGAGAGAGACAGGGAGAGAGAGAGAGAGAGAGAGAGGGGAAGCAGCGTGGAGAAGCGGCAGCCGGGGCGGGGGCGGGGGGCCTGCGGGGGTCGCGCCCCTCCCGAGACAGTCGCCCCAGCGCCTGCCCGGTCCCCTCCCCTGGCCCGCCCAGACTCAGGAGGGGGCGCAGGGTGGGAGAGTCTGCAGGGCATCCCCGCACTCAGGGCACGGCCCAGACCCTCCCCAAGGGGACCCCGGGGGCCAGAGCGAGCGATAGGACGTTCAACTTGCACGATGCCGACCTGGGTTCGATCCCCAGCATCCCATAGGGTCCCCCGAGCACTGCTGGGGGGCGGGTTCCTGAGTGCAGAGCCAGGAAGAACCCCTGAGCATCGCCGGGTGTGATCCCAACATGCCCCCCCACAAAAAGAAAAAAAAAACAAAAAACAAAGGCCTGAAAAAGAAAAAAAAATTCCAATGGGAGCTACTTGTTGGGGTCACCCAGCTGAGGGGGGCTTCCCAGCCCCCCAACTCTGATAGGCAGAGTGGCCCTACAGTGGCTCTCTACAGGCACGGTGGGGGCCAAGCGCCCAGGGGTCACCCCAGCTGTGGGAGGGGGCGGGAAGTTCCCTGTGGCTCAGAGCCCCCCGTCTCAGCTCTGAGCACCCCCATACCCGCCCCCCCCGCCCCCTGTGCCAGAGCCCCCGTCTTTGCTCCCAGTATTGGGGGAGCTGATGCGTTTCTGCTCTGCGACAGCGCCCAGGGGGGTCTGTCATCCTGGAGTCGCCGTCACCCCTGCCCCACGTGGACCCTCGCTGCCATCTCGCCCCTGACCAAGGGGAGCTGAGCATGTGTGTGACCGGGTGGCAGGCCTGGGGGGTCCCTCCTACACCCACGTTGGAGTGGGGGCCTCTTCCGTCTCTCCGCCGCCTGGACACCCCTCCGTGCCCCCCCCCACCCGAGAGATCTTGAAGAGGTTCCTTTCCCCTTGGGGTCCCCTCCCCTCCCCGGGGAGCAGGGAGCAAGCCACCCCAGGTCTTTCCCACGGACCGTGCACAGTGGTGGGACGGAGGCCAGTGGCTAAGGCTCTCAGCTCTGTGGGGAAGTGGGCATCCCAAGGGAGCCCCTCAGGGGCCACACAAGGACCCACAGGCCCTAGAGCGCGAGTGAAGACAGGAATGGATGGACAGAAACGGGCTGGACCTCTGTGGGCGGAGCTGGCCACCAATGGCCCGGACCACGGATGGCGTACGTTCCCGATCACTGCGCATGGTACATGTGTTGGTGGACCCCTGCCCCCCACTCCAGAAGCCTCTAACTCGGGTATAAGAGCCCCCTCCCCCGCAAACTGCACTTGGGGCTCCGTCCTTTTAAGGAAAGAGCCAGATGGAGGGATAGGATGGCGGGGAGGGCGCTTGCCTTGCGTGCAGTCAAACCAGGTTCCACCCCTGGCATTCCAGAGGGGCCCCCTGAGGCCTGAGTCAGAAGGGGCCCCTGAGTGCAGAGCCGGGAAGAAGTAAGCCCTGAGCCAAAAAAAAAGGTGGGGGGCTGGAAATCTGGAAACGTCTTTTTTCTTTTCGGATCACACCTGGTGATGCTCAGGGGTTACTCCTGGCTCTGCACTCAGGAATTACTCCTGGCGGTACTCGCACCATATGAGATGCTGGGAATTGAACCCGGGTCGGCCGCGTGCAAGGCAAATGCCCTCCCCGCTGTGCTATGGTTCCAGGCCCAGGACTGGAAATTGCTTAGGAGTAAGACAAAAAGTCCCATGTGAACAGCACTTGGGGGGGGGGCATCACTTTCAGCAACAGCCAGACTGAGTCTGCATGGGTAAATACGTGGCCCCATCCACCTCCCCTCAGCCCACCCGTGCCTCCCTGGGGGGGATCTCCCTCCCTCCCCTCTGTACCCCACCCCCACCCCACCCTCATGGCCACTATTATTTTTTTTGCTTTTTGGGGTCACACCCGACGATGCACAGAGGTTACTCCTGGCTCTGCACTCAGGAATGACTCCTGGTGGTGCTCGGGGGACCCTATGGGGTGCTGGGAATCGAACCCGGGTCGGCTCCGTGCAACGCAAACGCCCTCCCCGCTGTGCTATCGCTCCAGCCCCAATGGCCACTTTTGTGGTGTCCGGCACTCCCCGCAAAGTAGATCTCTGCTTCGTCTCCCTCCACACCTGCACCCGGGCTGGGCCATCCCCCTCCTCCCCCTCCGTCTGCCCCTCCCCAGCTCCCCAGAGAAGGGGGGCAATGACAGATGTCAGGTCCGTCAGATGGGGCCTCTCTGAGCGGGTGGCCAAGAGCCTCCAAGCCCAGGGGGACAGCTGGGAGAGCAGATGTCCCTCTGCCCTGCCCGCAGATTGCCTCCTGGGTCTGTCAGGGGTCTTTCCAGGCGGGGGCGGGGTGGCCTTGAGGGAAGGGTGACACACGGAGTTACTCTCTGTTAGAACAGGGCCATGTCACCGCTCCTCCTCCTCCTCCTTCCTCCTCCTCCTCCTCCTCCTCTCCCTCCTCCTTCCTCCTCCTCTTCTTTTTCCTCTTCTTCCTTCCTCCTTCCCCCTCCTCCTCTTTCTTCATCACTGCCTTCTCCTCCTCCTTCCTCCTCCTCTTCTCTTTCTTCTCCTTTTTTCTCCTCTTCCTTCCTTCCTTCCTCCTCCTCCTCTCCCTTCCCCTTCCTCCTCCTCCTCCTCCTCCTCCTCCTCCTCCTCCTCCTCCTCCTCCTCCTCCTCGCCTTCCAGAAAACTCCCAGCTGGCTTCTCTATCACCCCGGCAAGGCCTGAGCAGGTGTGGCCCCAGGCTCTCTACAGATTGGGGGGTGGGGGTTCCTCCCTCACCAGAACTCTTCCGGCTTGGATTGTTCTAGAACACAGCACCTCACCCCAGGCTGCTCCGAGGAGCCCGTGCCCCCCTCCCACCCCGCACTAGAGCAGAGCCTTCTTTGGCGGCTTGCCCGCTTGGGGGAAGCTGCTCAGAGACCCCAAGCACAGGGGGTGGGAGGCGGAGCTGCCCCCTGGGAAAGGGCTTCCGGCTGGGTGCTCTGTCTCCCACTTGGTTCTGGCCCGCACCCTGGGTGGGCCCCCACACCCATGGTCATTTTAAAACGGGGCGGGGGCTGTGTCTATGCCACTCCTCCTGCAGGGCCTGGACATCCATCTGGGCCCAAGAGCCGGACAGACCCCAGCCGGAAAGGCCCCCTCCCGCAAACCTTCTCCTCTGTCTCCAGCCTGTGTCCCAGTACCACGGGCAAGAGAGAGAGCCAAGGCTGGCCGGAAGGACAGAAGGACGCACTCCGGGGCAGATGTGCTCCCTTCCCTGGTGTCCCACACGGGGTGTCCCCGGCATGGCCCTGCCCCAAAACGTCCAGAAATGCCCAGCCCAAAGTCGGCTCTGGAAACGGTCCTTTCCCTGGAGTGCTGGGGGCAGGAGGGTGTGGCCGGGGCCCGGGGAGGGGTGGCCACAGCGGGCACAGTGCACCTGCTGCCACCAGTCTATGACTGCTGGTCTCGTGCGGGTCCGAGGCCTGTGCTGGCCCGCTCCCCAGGACAAAGGGGACTGACGAAGGGGCGTGTTCTGGGGACAGGCAGCGGAGGGGTTGGGGTGGGGGGGGTCTTGTCGATGACACGCAGCATGTGGGGCTTGGTCGGACTGCCCGGACCCTGTCCCCGGCCCCTCCATCAATCTCCCACCATGAGGCCCACGAAGCTAATGGGAGCGTTTCCCCCAGTGGCAAGCCGCTTGGAAGCACCTGGACATCGGCAGGCCGGGAGGGACAGGGACTTCTGTTTCCGAGGGGTCCCCCCCTTTGCCGCCTCCCACCGTGTCCTGCCTGGACGTGGTGGCGGGCAGGGGGGTGGTGCTCTGGGGAGTGGACGGCAGCGTGTTGCCCCAGTGTGTGTGTCTGGCTTTTTTCCCCCCACCATTGAAGAGCGCCCCCTGCAGGCGAGGCTGAACCCTGAAATGCTCTGTGCTCTGGGGGGAAGGGGGCTCAGAAGGGGGATGCAGGACCCCTCACCTCGCCCTTACCCCCACTCCCAGGACTAGGCCGTCCGTTTCTTCCTCTGTCATCACTCTGGGAAGCAGAATGTTGAAGGGACAGCAGCCTTGCGAGGCGGACAGGGGTGAGTGAGGGGGATCTTGGGGGAGGGGGTGGGCAGGTGGCTGGGGCTTCAGCTCAGCCCAGAGTGAGGCTGGGGTTGAGCGTGCAGCTGTGTGTGTGTATGTGTGTGTGTGTGTGTGTGTGTGTGTGTGTAAGAGAGAGAGAGAGTTAAAATCCATCAGGTAATTGGTTTTCTGCAGGGCTAACTGAATTTCCCCAATTTAATTTGCAAAGCAGCATCCCGGGAGCCATCCCAGCGCCTGCCTCCTCCAGATTGGATTAGGGGCCCTCTGGGGAGTGGGGGGTGGCGGGTGGCAGGGGCGGGGAGGGCGTCAGCCCGCCCGGAGCAGCCTTGGATGGCGGCTTTACCTGAGCAGCGGAACTTCTTGCTCTTGATCTGGCCGATGCGCTTGTTGGCCAGGCGGCGGGGGCCGCTGCAGCGGGCGCCGCTCGTCTCGATGGGGTTGTCCTGGAGGAACTCGGCCAGCCACTTCAGGTGACAGTCGCACACGAACGGGTTCTGGGCCAGGTGGCTGCGGGAGGGACGAGGCAGTGAGGGGTGAGGGGGATGCAGCCTAGAGGGTGTACACATGGCCCTGCCCGGCCGGGGACGGCATCTGGGCGGTTCAGAGATAGACGTCCACCCCCCTACCCCCGCCCCCCATGGCCCCGGCACCCTTTACCTTGCAGATGGGTCTCAGCGAGGGAACTGGACCCTCTGATGGCCAGGACCAGTTGGTGTGTGTGTGTGCGTGTGCATGCATGCGTGTGTACACGCATGTGCATGTGTGTGCATATGTGCATACGTGCATGTGCGTGTATGTGCGTGCGTGTGTGCATGTGTGTGCGTGCACACTCTGTATATGCGTGTGTGCATGTGCACGTGTGTGCATGCATGCGTGTGTGCATGCGTGTGCATATGTGTGCGTGTATGTGTGCACATCTGTGCATGTGTGTGCATCTGTGTGTCTATGCATATGTGCGCATGTGTGCATGCATGTGTGTGCAGGCGTGCACGCATGTCTGTGTGTGCATGCACGCATGTATGCGCTTGTGTGTGCATATGCATGTGTGTGCGCACATGTGTGCTTGTGTGTGCACATGTGTGTGCATATGCATGTGTGTGTGGACACGTGTGTTTGCATGTGCACGTGTGTGCGCATGTGCGTGCGCATGTGTGAGTGTGTGTCTGTGTATGTGCATGTGCGTGTGTGCACGCCAAGCTGTTCCCAGCACAGTCCCCACAACTCCCGTCTCTACCCATTTTGTTAACTTTTTTGTGTTCGGGGGCCACACCTGGCGATGCTCAGGACCGACCCCTGGCTCTGCACTCAGGGGTCCCTCCCGGTGGTGCTGGGGAAACCCACTGGGGATGCCGTGGATAGAAACTAAGTTGGCCGGTTGCAAAGCCCGTGCCCTCCCCGCAGTCCTATGGCTCCAGACCCTGGACCTGTATTCCAATTCCATGCAACTGCAAAGCAAGGCCCCGGCTTGTGCCCTGTGCCCAGGGTGCTCGGCCACCTTCATTTCTCCGAGCCCAGGGACATGCACCTCAGCAGCAGTGGACACCCCGGGCCCACATGTGGCAGGACGCGGCTCCCACGAATCCCAGCCAGCTCTGATCCCTGGGAGCCCCTTGGCTGGTGCCCCGTACGCCAGTGACTGAGCCGGGTGCCCTGGACTCACTGCTGGGACTACCGTGCAGTAACATGGGCTTGTGTGTGCATATGCACCTGGGGGCTGAGGAGGGCCCGGGTGGCGCTCAGCCCAGAGGACAGGGGCTCAGTGGGCAGCTCAGGAGCCTGCCGGGACGCACCTCAGCTCTCTCCCTCGCTGTGCAGCCCTGGGCCTCTCTGGGCTGTGGCTTCCGCTGCAGGAATGGGGGTGGGGTGGGGATAAAGATAACAGGGGGCTGGAGTGATAGCACAGCAAGGAGGGTGTGTGCCTTGCATGCAGCCGACCTGGGTTCGATTCCCAGCCCCCATAGGGTCCCCCCGAGTACCGCCAGGAGTAATTCCTGAGTGCAGAGCCAGGAGTAACCCCTGTGCATCACCGGGTGTGACCCAAAAAGATAAAAAAAAAGATAACGTGGTTGGGGCCAGAGATACTCCAGCGGGGAGGGCGTTTGCCTTGCAGGCAGCTGACCTGAGTTAGGTCCCCGGCATCCCATAGGGTCCCCCGAGCACAGCCAGGAGTAATTTTCCAGAGTGCAGAGCTAGAATCAGCCCTGAGCATCGCCGGGTGTGACTCCCCCCCCACAATATATATATATATATATATATATATATATATATATATATAAAGGTAACAGGTTTCAATGAGGTCTCGGGGTCTAGAAACGCCATGGGAGGGACCCCCTGTCCTTGTCTTCTCTCCTCATACTCCCTAGACTCGTTCCAGGGGGTTCTGGGGTCTGGGGGCTGCCCGCGGCCTACTCACAGGGTCTGGATGGCCTGCAGCGGGGCGAAGAGCCCCTTGCTGATGGTCTGCAGCTTGTTGTCGTACAGGGACAGCAGACTGAGGCTGCGCAGGTCCTGGAAGGTGCTCACACGAAGGCAGTTGATCTTGTTGGCGTTCAGGAGGCTGCAAGCAAGCAGACCTGGTGACTGGCCATGCCTTGTTGTCCCCCTGGCCCCCCTCCCCCATTCCCCTCAGTCTCATCCCTTCTCACAGGGAGTGCGCGTGAGAGGCACCGGCATTTGTGCGACCCCTAGCGTGTCTGGCAGGGGCACGTGACGCCTAACACCGGAGCCTTCTGGGGGCCCCATGCTCAGGGGTGTGTGTGTGTGTGTGTGTGTGTGTGTGTGTGTGTGTGTGTTGTGGGGGGAGAGAGGAGGGCACACCCGAAATGCGTCCTTAGGAACTTCATTCTCGGCTTGAGGAAGCATCGCTTCCGGGAGTCGAGAGAAAAGTCATGAGACAGGGGTCTCCTGGAAAACTGCTTACAGGGGCCGGAGTGATAGTACAGGGGGTGGGCATTTGCCTTGCATGTGTCCGACCCAGGTTCTATCCCTGACATCCCATAGGATTCCCCTGAGCACCACCAGGAGTGATTCCTGAGTACAGGGCCAGGAGTGATTACTGAGCATCTCTGGGTGTGGCCCCAAACCAAACCAAAACAAAAGAAAGAAAACTCCATAACAGTGCTGTCAGAGCACTTCCTGTGGACAATCTGCACTCGATTTATTTTTGTGGTTCTGGGGTCGAACCCACAGAGTCTCACGTGTAAGGCAAAGGCTTGGCTGTGGAGCCCCAAGCCAGACTCCCCTGGAAATCAGATCCAAGCCAGAGGTCCCCCTCTGGAAAGACGTCATCTAATGAGAGGCATGTGTGCATGCGCAGTGGCTCTCCCTCACACACATGCACAAATACACACACACACACACACACACACACTACCACCACCATCACTTCCACTCTCTCATATACAAACTGTTCCCCACACACATCCTCTCACTCATACATACAGTCCCTCACATATATACTTCCATTCTTTCATAATCACACTGCCCCCCACACACTTCCTCTCACACACATACATCCCCTCTCACACACACATTCCCCCACACACAAACATTCTCTCATACAAACACATATATTTCCTCACACACACATACATTCCCACATACACACACATACATTCCCTCACACACACACAAACATTCCCTCACACACACATACATTCCCTCACACACATATTCCCTCATACACACATATATTCCCTCACACACACAAAAACATTCCCTCATACATGCATTCTCTCATACACACACATACATCCCCTCACTCACACATACATTCCTTCATACACACACTTACAGTCCCTCATACACACACTTATAGTCGCTCATACACACATTTCCACTCTCTCATATACACACTGTCCCCCACACACATACTCTCACACACACATACATTCCCTCATACACACACTTCAGTCCCTCATATACACGCTTCCACTCTCATATACAAACTGTCTCACACAATCTTCTCACACACATACAGTCCCTCACACACACTTCTACTATCTTACATACACACTCTCACATATGTAGCCTCTCACACACACACAGCTTCTGCTCTCTCATACACAGTCTCACACATACATCTTCTCACACACATACACTCCCTCAGATATACTTCTACTCTCTCACTCTCACACACATATACACACTCAGACTCAGGCACACATTCTCCGTAAACACACTTACATTAACTCATATACACACTTCCACTCTCTCACACACATACAAAAACTCAGACACACACCATCAGACATATACTCAGACACACACACAAACGCTCAGATACACATTCTCTCATACACAAACTTCCACTTTCAGTCTCTCACACACTCACACACACAAAGCACTCACATTCTCTGACACACACTTACATTCCCTCAGACATATAATTCCATTCTCTCACACATACACAAACTCAGACACACACCATCAAACATACACTCAGACACACACACTCTCAGACACACATTCTCTCATACACACACTTCCACTCTCACAGTCTCTCATACATTCACACACACACAGAACACTCACATTCTCTCACACACACTTACATTCCTTCATACACACACTTCCACTCTCTCACACACATACACAAACTCAGACAGACAGATACACACGCAGACACACTCATATTCTCCCATACACACACTTCCACCTCATACATACACTTTCACTCACATATACAAACTTCTACTTGACACACACACACACACACACACACACACACACTCAAACATACACTACTCCGACTCAGACAGATTCACATTCTCTACTACACAAACACATTCACCTCCACCCCTAATTTTCGACACAGTTTCCAGAGTTGTAGCACCATCAAGGCCCGTGCAGTTGGCTGGGGCCCATCACCAACACGCAGTCGGCCACGTTTCACAGTGCTCACGGATCCCTCCTGCTCTCTCCGATGCTGGAGAGAAGCCAGTGGCCCCGCAGTGGGGAGTATCAGACACCAGCTGATGGGGGAGGGCTGACCCCAGTGGACGTGACTCTGGGCCCCCTCCTTCCCCAGTCAGCTGGTGGAGGCTGGGATGCTACAGGGCCTCTGGGTGGCCCTCCACACCGCACCCCACACCTCCTCTCGGGGACCCACAGCCCGCAGCTGCCGACAGCAGGGTGCGCTGGCCAGAGAAACACAGTGCCCCCCTCCTTGCTTTGGGGGTGCTTCCTGGTGCTCTACAAGATGCCGGGTGTGAGGGCCACATGCAGTGGGCAGGGGACCAGGAAGGAGCCGTGACATCCTCCCCCTGATCCCAGAGAGCGGACGACGGACCCTGTGGCAAAGAGCACCAGGGGCTTCCCCGAGACCCCCGCTGTTCCTGGCCCTAACGCGGGGCACATTCCCCCTGGGCCCCTCACCCCAGCCCGTCCTCACCCAGGATTCCGAGCTGTCCCCAGGGGTACTTCCTTCCAGACCTTGGGCCTGGGTTCAGCTCACACATACCCACACACATGCCCCCTCCTTCCCCAGCCCAAATCTACATGAACATGTGTGCACATGGGCACCCATACCCACTAGGCACACACACACACACACACACACACACACACACCTCACCCCTCTGGGGCATGGGAGGAAGATGCTAAAGGCCATTGTAGTTGGGTGGGTTAAAAAAAAAGAGGCCACTGAGGCTGGAGCGATAGCACAGCAGGTAGGGCGTTTGCCTTGCACACAGCTGACCCGGGTTCGATTCCCAGCATTCCATAGGGTTCCCCGAGCACCGCCAGGAGTAATTCCTGAGTGCAGAGCCAGGAGTAACCCTTGAGCATCACTGGGTATGACCCAAAAAGCAAAAAAAAAAAAATACAGAGAAGAGGGTGCTGGCCTTGCACACAATGGACCCGGGTTCGATGCCTGGCACTCCACAGGGTCCTCTAAACTCTACCAGGAGTAATTCCTGAGTGCAGAGCCGGACTCAGCCCTGAGCATCACCGGCTGTAGCCTCAAAGCAAACAAAACAAAACCAAACAAAAACCAACCAACCAAACAAAACCCAATACACGCAAAAGAGAGAAGAAAAAACAGAGGTGGATGGTGGGAACTCCCTGTCCGGCGTGGACAGAACGAAGGAGCTTTGGAATAAAGGACGGGGGTGTGTTTGTGCCGCTCCTTCCAGGAGCCCAGGACTTGAACGGTCTCTGCTGGAGACTGTGGGGGGGGGACTGGTCAGTGAGGAGTGAGGGGCAGCAGTGACCGATGGGCAGGGCCGGCTGCTGGTGGCACAGCTGGGAAGGGAGCCAGTGGCCAGGGCAACCCAGGCTGCTCGACATGCTTGCGGGGACACTCTGCTGAGTGGACACTGCCCAAGGCTGCCCGAGGTGGGAGAGAGAGGAAACAGGACTCTCAGGGGTGCTAGGAGCCCCCTGGGGCCAGGGAGAGGAAATGACGCAGAGGAATCAGAGAGCCTCCAGGCTAAGGAGGAGTGATGCCATCTCCCCAGGGAGACGCCGCCTTCCCCTCCCAGCAGCCTGCCAGCCAGTTGGCAGAGGCGGCTGCTTCCTGCAGGGGGCGCCAGGCCGCCGTGGCCAGGCCACGTCTCCGGAGAGCGGGGCAAGTAGGGGCTTCACCTCCCAGCCCCTCAACTCCACCTGCTCCCCATGGGGCTATTCAAGTGATGTGGCTCTCCTGGGGTAGGGGGCGGGCCGTGATGCCCCGTGAATTTCTGTTCTTCTCAGCTTGGGGCTGGGCGTCGACCCATATTGTCTCTGAACTACTGAAAGAATCCCCCCTTGTGGGGAAGGGCATCGCCACACGCCCGGGCTTCTCCTCCGGGGTTGTTTCCATGCTAGCAGTGATAGCATGGAAGGGTATGCACCCCGACCCACGGAACACGGCACCCCCACACTGACCCCAAGGCCAAGGCCATCCTTGGCCTGCTCTCAGCAGGGGACGAGCTGGACTTCACCAGCCTCCTGGCAGCTGTTGTAACTCAGGGCTTCCCCACACCAGCGCCCACTCCCTACACAGACCCTAACTCAAGGCCCTGGTGGTCCACTGAGGTTTAGGATCTCACATGCACACACACATGCGCACACACACATGCACGCACCTCCCCCCACGCACCTATATACACAAGCACAACATACATGTGTGCTTTGAACATAGGGATACACATGTTCACAATCCCATATGCACGAGTGTGCACACAGAGAGACAGTGCAACCCCCGTGGACATACATGTACATGTGTGCACATATAGGAATGCACATGCCCACATGCCCACAATATCCATGCATACATGTGCACACAGGGACACATATAAACACAAATATACATGCAGACAGGTGCATACTCCCATCAATATACATTCACATGTGTGCACACACAGGGACACACTGACACACACCCACATAAATATACACACATGTGTGCACACACAGAGACACATGTACACACAAATATACATGCAGAGAGGTGCACACTCCCATAAATATACAGTCACATGTGTGCACACAAACACACAACCACATAAATATACATACACGTGCACACACAGGGACACATGTACACACAAAAATACATGCAGACAGGTGCACACTCCCATAAATACACATTCACATGTGTGCACACACAGGGACACACAGACACACAACCACATTAATATACACACACATGTGCACACATAGGGACACACATGCCCCAAACATATAGGCACATGTGTGTGCGCACATGGACACAAACATACGTGCATACGTGTACACGGGCATACATGGACACCCATCACACAAGACATCCCCCCACATGTCCACAAATACATGCACAGTGCACGCCTACACATATGCACACAGGCGCTTAGCACATGGGCACCTATACATAAAAGCACATACATATGTCCACACATGCGTAGACAGACACCCATATGTACAAGCACACACCTGCATGCCCACACCTAATGCACACATATATACAAGTACACCCTGCGACGTACACTCTTGCACACAGGCATACAAACATACACACACGCACACAACCCTGCCCCAGCCGCACGCGGCTACAAACGTTCCCCCAGCACTTCTCAACCACCAGACCCCACAGGCTCTGCTCCTGTGTCAACACTGATCCTGCTGTGTGACTGGGGACAAATGGCTGATCTCTCTGAGACTAGACGACAGAGCTCGAACTCGAGTCTCTGAGACTAAGTGGCCTGACGGTCCTTCCCGGAGCCCACCCTTCCCGCCAAGGTCGGGCACACACTCGACCCCAGGTGCTGGGGATCACTGTCCCCCATCACACAGCCATGAAACACGGGCAGAACAAGACTCCTTCCTGTACCTCGCCACGCGAGACTTTCAGTCACCTTCAAACACTTAAGCTCCGAGGATGGAAATGAAATAAGTGAAAACAGATCATCTCAGAGCGCGAAGTCCGAGACGACCAACACGCAGCCGTGGCTCGGAGGTGACTGATCATGCTTCCGTCTCAGACTTCACCCGCCTCCTCACCAAGACCCAGTGCCCGTGGGGAGCAGTTTCTGCAGGATTCCTGGGATTCTGAGTGAAGCCCCGAGACTCACTTCCTCTCGGAGGATTCTCAGCTCGTTCTGGTCCCAGCCCCCAAGTCCCTCCCTATCCCTTGAAACCTTCCCTGTAGATTCACTCACAATGACCCCCATCACCCCTGCCAGCTCCCTGGTGAGAACACTGCTCCCCCATCCCGGTTTGCTAAGCATCAAGGCCAAAGAAACCCTCGGGCGGGCCTGACCCCAGTGGGCTGGCAGGAAGTGACTGTGCCAAGGGCCCCAGAGAGACAGAGGGTGGCGTTACTCACAGCAGCTGCAGTGACACCAGCCCGCTAAACAGCTCCTTGGGGATCTCAGAGATCTTGTTCCCGTAGAGAACCCTGGAGGAGAGAGAGAAAAAGGGGGCAGCGGTCACTGAGGAGCAGAGGGCCTGGACCGGCTCCTTCCCGGCCAGCCACATGCCTTCTCCTCTTCAGCCAGAAGTGGGCACACCTGGTCGGGGGCTGGTACTCCCACCGCTGCCAGGTAGGCTACCCGTGTGGGGTAACCTGGGACCCAGCTGGCTGGCATCACCTCAGGGGCCTGTGCACGGGAGGACAGAGAGTAGCTGGGTGGGCCCCGGGGGGCACGTCACCCAGCCCAGAGCCCACCCTGGGTCACCGAGTCACGACACACGGCAGGCAGACCTGCTGAAGTGCCTTGTTGGGCACTGGCCAAAGCCTCTCCCTGTCCCCAGCCGGACCCCAGGCCCCAGCTGAAGGGGAACCGGAAGGGCAGGAAGGGGGTCCCGGCGGCCGGCGGCTGCGCCCCGCTCCTCCTCCAAGCCCCTGTCCGTCCCCACTGGGCAGACGCTCCTCCAGCACACGCTGCGGCCTCTGGGTACCCAGCCAGATGTGCTCCTCGATAAACTAAGCTAATTTTGGCTGCTTGCAGCAGATGGCAGCTGAGTCTGGGGCCAGCCCAGTTCCCAGCCCTCTCCCAGCGGGATGGGCCCATGGGGACAGTGTCTCTGCTTCCGGGACACTCGGGGTAGGTCCACAGAGAGCCCAGATGGGGGGACCCGAGCGCCCCTATGGCCAGGCTCGCCGGGTGATGCCCACTGTAGCCTGGGCCGCCCCTTCTCTCCTGGGCAGTGACATGCCCGGGAGTCCAGAGGCCCCGTGCAGTGGGACTGGTGCCACCCAGCCCTGCCACATCCCGGGGAGGTCACACCTGGGGGACCGGGTTGGGGTTGCATCCGCTCTGAGCCTGGGGTGGCTGCAGCTGTCAGGGATGCCCGCTCAGACGCCAGCAGGCCGGCAGCCCGGAGTGGGGCCCGGGGACTCCTTCCACATGCTGTAGTACACACTCGGCATGCAGACCCCCACCCCCACCGCCAGGTAGGAGCCCGGAGGCAGAAAGAAGCAAAACCAAAAGTAGCCGTGTGTGTGAGTGAGAGTGTGTGTGTATGAGTGTATGTATGAGAACATGTGTGAAAGTAAGTGTGTGTGTACGTGAGCATGTGTGTGTGCGTGTGTATGTGAGTGTGTTTGAGTATGTGTGTGTTTATGTGAATGTGTGTATGTGAATATGAGTGTGAGTATAAGTGTGTTCAAGTGTGTGACTGTGTGTAAGTGTGCATATGTGTGTATGAGTGTGTGTGAGTGTGCAAGTGTGTGAGTGTGTCTATGAGTATGAGTGTGTGTGAGTGTGTGTTTGGATGTGTGAGTGTGTATGTGTTTGTGAGTATATGTGAAAGTGTGTGTATGTGAGCATGTGTATGTGTGTGTGACTGTGTATGTGAGTGAGTATGTGTGTGACTGTGAGTATGAGTGTGTTTAAGTGTGTGTGACTGTGTGTAAGTGTGTATAAGTGTGTGTATGAGTGTATATGTGTGTAAGTGTATATGAGTGTGGGTAAGTGTGAGTGTGTGAGAGTGTGTGTTTGAATGTGAGTGTGAGGCTGTGTGAGTGTATGTGTTTATGTGAGTGTGTGAGTGCATGTAAGTGTGTATGAGTGTGTGTGATTGTGAGTGTGTATGTATGTGTGTGTGAAAGTGTGTTTGAATGTGTGTGTGAGTGTGCATGTGTTTATGTGAGTGTGTGTGAGTGTCTGAGGGTAAGTGTGTGAGTATGTGAGTGTGTGTGAGTATGTATGTGTGTGTATGTGAGTGTGTGAGTGAGTGTATGAGTGTGAATGTGTGTGAGTATGTGTGTGTAACTGGTACCCACTACTTTTTAAACTATGAAAGAGGGAGGAGGGTGGATTTCTGTTGCAGGTCACTCTGAGGATTAAGTGCCCAAGAGTCGCCAGGCAGTGCCGGGCACACAGCCACCGTGTGGTAAATGCTCTGGTGAGCCTGGCCAAGGTCAGGGCGTTGCACTCTGACTCTCTCTGCCTGGCAGAGAGCACGCTGGGAGGACTTCAGCGATGTTCTCCACGGGGCAGGCGGGTCCCTGAGGGAAGGCGAGGGGGTGGTCCCCCAGCAGCCACCCTGCCCCTCCCAGTGCCTGAGTTTCCCCCTGCCCCGTGGGCCTGGCAGGACACTCTAGGCTTTCGCAATCAGCCGACCTGGGTTCGAGCCCCAGCATGTCATAGGACCTCCCTGAGCCCCGCCAGGAGGGATCCCTGAGTGCAGAGCCAGGAGTCAGCCCTGAGCACCGCCGGTGTGGCCTCCAAACAAAACCACACACACACACACACACACACACACACACACACACAAACCCAAATCAAGGGTTTGTGCTGCTTCTCAGATGGTGGGTGGGTTTGGCACAAAAGCCCAAGAATCAGGGAAAAGTGCAAACTGAGTGCTCCCCTTGGCAGGGCCGTGGGAACGGGGAGAAAAGGGCCCATGGGTACTAAGTATCCGCCCTGTTCCCCCACTCCTCACTCCCCAGCCCCCCAGCGAGCACAGCCAAGGGGAGCTCCCCCAGCAAGCGGAAGATGCCTCTGAATGAGCAGTCAGTGGCTGGCCACTCAATCGAGCAAAACAACGCATTGAGGTTGCAGAAATCCTCTCCGAGATCAATATCCCCCCGACGAAGAGAGATCGTCGTTTCTTTGGCCCAGGTACCGATGAAAGTGGGACGGAATGAACATAAACCTCTCCCCACACCTGCCCACCTACCTGCCCCCAGGACTGTCCCAACCCCCCAGCCAGCTCCCCCCCCGCCCCGCAAAGTTTCCCCCACTTACAGCGACGTCAGGGACTTGAGACCCTGGAAGGCGTCCGGGGCGATGTCGGAGATCTGATTCTTGCTGATGTCTCTGAAAAATCAGGGCGGGGAGAGGGGGCTGAGTGCACGGCTTTTAAGGGGGGGTGGCTAACACTTCTAGATGCCACGGGGGAGGGCGAGAGTAGGCCGTCCCGTGGGGGTGTGGACTCCCGAGCACTGGGGAAGGGGCTCCGGGACCATGCGGCTGCCGACCCCCCAACTCCCCTAATCAGAGACACCCCGCTGGCCGCTCTCCCCTTGGGTCTCAGTGGACGCTCCCGTGGCCTCTGGACATTGGCATGGCAGACAGACTGCCCCCCCACCCGGCACACCAAGGCCTCGTCCTACATGGGCACTGCCCTGAAGCAGAGCAAGCACCCAATTACCAATGGCGGCACCCCACGTCCTTGCCTTGAGCCTCTGCAAACCCTTGATTTTTTTTTTTCCCCCACCAAGACTCGAGACCTTTCTGCCTCTCCTGGCTTAAAAGAAGCTTCGTGACTCGAGTCTGATTCGGGGCCTCCTCTGGGCCTGGGGAGAATTCTGGTGGGGGCTGAAAGGTGCTTAAAACCCCTCTGAGATGTGTGTCACTGGGGGTGCTCCCAGCCCCGGTGGGGAAAGGGGGAGGTCTGGGGTGCTGGGGGAACAGGCAGCCGTGAGGCTGAAGTGGAGCCATGGTAGGTACCACTTTATTTTATTATTGTCACTGTCCTCCTGTTGTTCATCAATTTTGCTCGAGCGGGCCCAGTAACACTGTGAGACTTGTTACTGTGCTTGGCGTATCGAATACGTCACGGGGAGCTTGCCAGGCTTTGCTGTGCGGGTGAGATACTCTCAGTAGCTTGCCGGGCTCTTCGGGTCGGCTGTGTAGGCCGCATGCAAGGCAAACGTCCTACCTGCTGGACTATCACTCCAGCCCCAGGCTCCACTTTAAGACCGAAACTCAGCAGGCCTAAGTTTCAGTTTCCCCTATCAGAAAGTCCTGGCTTCTCAGAAAATAGTTTCACCCTGGGCAGGTAAACTGCCCCGTGGGAACAGCCTATCAGAGTAGGGGGCGTGGGCAGTGGTGCCCAGCCAAGCAAAGAGGGCGGAGGGAGTGGAGTCATGCATGGGACGAGGACCGCACAGGGACCAAGACTTGGAAACGTAAGTGTAGGTCCCTGGAGTCATGGGGACAGAACAGGGACCAGAATTGGAAATATATTGCCAGTTCCTAAAAGAAATGCTGTTATGTAACCAAACCCTATACAAGCTGCTCAGAATTCGGAGTTGGGGTCCTTGTCAAGATTCCACTTTGTTGGATGAGACTTGGACCCTAGCTCGAGCTAGCGATAAAGGGGCCTTGCACTTGTATCCTTGAGTTTGGTCTGGTCAATGTGAGAGCGAATCTCCCTTCCCGGGACATCACATACATCTGATTTGGAGCCTCCTCTGGGCCTGGGGAGAATTATGGTGTGTGTGTGTGGGGGGTGTTAAGAGGCTCTGGGACCCCTCTGAGATGTGTCGGTATCACTGGGGGTGCACCTGGCCCGGGCAAGGAGAACAGAGGTCTGGGGCTTTGGGGTAATGGGTAGCTCAGCAGAGGACCTTCCTGGAACTGGGCATTGGCATGGCTACTGTGTGGCCTTCTAGTGACTTCTGAGCCCCAGTGGCTTATTCTGGCTCCTAGATCATCACCGTGGCAGGGGGCTGGTCTCTGGGTTCCCGTCTCGGGCAGGGAGCGGCCCCCAGGGCCAGTAAGTAACAAGGATCCTTTTCCTTGGACAGAATACAACAGAATGATGCTTTCGTGCAGGAAGGGACAGAAAAAGGATCAGCGAGGAGGAGAGAGGGTCAGCCAGGGGAAACCCCCGGCAGATCCAAAACAGCCCCAGTGAGGCCCAGCCCGCCAGGTCCAGCCCCCTACACTGCTCCCGAAGCCGGCACCATCCCGATTTCCAAAGCCTGTCTGTTGAGCCTCATTTCACCGGCCAAGACTTCTGAGGTTTGGGGCTGAGCCCTTAAGCTGGAGGGATCGCCCAGAGAAAATCCGCAGACAAGGGGGGCGGAGGGCGCCCACAGTCCCCGGCTCACAACTCAGGAGGGTCTTTTTTAAATTTATTTTTATTTTTTTATTTTCCTTTTTGGGTCACACCTGGCGATGCTCAGGGGTTACTCCTGGCTCTGCACTCAGGAGTTACTCCTGGTGGTGCTCAGGGGACCATATGGGATGCTGGGAATCGAACCTGGGTTGGCCGCGTGCAAGGCAAACGCCCAACCTGCTGTGCTATCTCTCCAGCCCCTCAGGAGGGTCTTAACCAGCAAATGCCATGGGGATTATCCCTGGCCTCTTGTGCCCTCTGGCCGGGGTGCCCGGGGGCCACCTACCCGGTTGCAAGTCTTGGGTTCCCATAGGCCACCTTGGGCACCAGAACGAGCGGGCATTTCTGCCATGCCCAGGCTCTCAGGCCTGTCGCTCTCTGAGTACCCACGCTTAAGTGTCCGGATTTGGGAGCTGAAGGTGAGCAGAGAGCAGTCAAGAGACACTTCCGCTGGAACTGAGCCGATAGCGACTCTTGTTGTAAATCTAATTTTGCTCGGGTTTGTTCGGGGATTGTAGAGTCGCTGATGCTCAGGGGTTGACTCCCGACTCTGCACCCTGGTGGGGCTCAGGGGACCCTATGGGATGCTGGGGATCGAACCTGGGCTGGCTACATGTGAGGCAAAAGCGCCCTTCCCCCGTCCTATCGCTTTGGCCTTGTAAGTCTTCATTCCGTGGGCAGAAAGTTGTAGGGCTGAGGGGTGAGGGGGAGGAATGTGTGTGTGTGTGTGTGTGTGTGTGTGTGTGTGTGTGTGTGTGTGTGGTGGGGTTTAGGCTGCCAGGCCATCTCTGTGCATGCCCCTCCCATGTTCACCCTGTTTGGTCATTAAAACACAACCACCCAGGGGCTGGAGTGATAGCACAGCGAGTAGGGCATTTGCCTTGCACACGGCCAACCTGGGTTCGATTCCCAACATCCCGTAGGGTTCCCCGAGCACCGCCAGGAGTGATTCCTGAGTGCAGAGCCAGGAGTGACCCCTGAGCATCGCCGGGTATGACCCAAAATGCAAAAGCAAAAGCAGAACAAAATAAAACAAACAAAAAAACACAACCACCAGTCGTGCTCAGGGCTTCCTCCTTCCTGGCTCTGTGCTCAAGGGATCACTCCTGACCGGGCTCTGGGGACCCATTGAGGTCGCCAGGGAGCGAGCCTGGGTGGGCCACGGGACAAAGCAAGCGCCCTCCCTGAACATCTCTGGCAGGAGATGGCAGATTCTCAAGCAGAGTTGGGGAGCCCCTCCCTAACAAAAAAAATAATAAATTCCAAACCCAGTTTCCTGGACTCTCTGCTTCTTCAAACTCCTCATCTGATCTGCAGGCAGGTTTTCTAAAGTTCTGGGAGCTGAAATGTTTTATTTGAAGTGGTTCCTTTGCCCTTCCGGCAGCCCCGAGAGGTTTGGGGTGGAAAGGGCAAGGGGGATACATATCAATGCCACTAGAAGGGAACCACAGTGAAAGTCTTTTCTCCAGGACTGGGACTGAGAAGCTCCTCTGAATTCTAAATATGCCCCTGACCCCTGCCCCCACCCTGAGGCAGCTAGGAAGGAAGAAGGGACAGTAAAACACTGCCCGCCCAGCTGGGCATTACCTGGACCTCACCAAAAATTAGAGCCAGCTGCCCCTTAAATCATGGAAGAGCGGGGGCTGGAGTGATAGCACAGCGGGGAGGGCGTTTGCCTTGCACACGGCCGACCTGGGTTCGATTCCCAGCATCCCATAGGGTCCCCCGAGCACCGTCAGGAGTAATTCCTGAGCACAGAGCCAGGAGTCACCCCTGAGCATCGCCGGGTGTGACTCAAAAAGAACAAAAAAATCACGGAAGAGCGAGAGGTGGGGACAGTGGCAGGACTTGTCATTTTTCACGGAACTGACTCCTGGGCTGCATAATCAAGCAGGGCTTTAAAAATGGATCGGGGTGAGGTGAGGGGGGTTGGGGTGGGTTATGGAGAAGCAGCGGGAAGATCGGGAGATGGATGGGCCGAGGCTTTAAATATTAAGGCCTCTATTTATACAGCCCCCGTGGTAGGCACGAAGGAAGGACATGCTCTGGGCTGGGATGGCGGGTGGGAGGGAAACCGGCTGTGGTTTGGGTTTCCTGGGAGAGGGTGAGGATGGTTGCCCGGTGGTGGGGAGAGGGGGAGTGAGGGGGAGGAGAGGAGTGGAGGTGGGCTGGGGCTGGAAACCTCTTAGAATGCCACCGTTTACAGCGGTAGGGCATTTGCCTTGTACGCAGCTGGCCTGCCCAAGCCGGGTTCGATTCCTCCGCCCCTCTTGGAGAGCCCAGCAAGCTACCGAGAGTATCCCGCCCGCATGGCAGAGCCTGCCAAGCTCCCCGTGGCGTATTCGATATGCCAAACACAGTAACAGCAAGTCTCACAATGGAGGCGTTACTGGTGCCCACTCGAGCCAATCTATGAACAACGGGAGGACAGTGGACAGTGCTACCCCGAACATGCTGCTGGAGTGATAGTACAGTGGGGAGGGTGTTTGCTTTGCACGCAGCATAACTGGGTTCGATTCCCAGCATTCCATAGGGTCCCCTGAGCACCGCCAGGAGTAATTCTTGAGTGTAGAGCCAGGAAGAACCTCTGAGCATCCCCAGGTGGGACCCAAAAAGCAAAAACACCAACACCAAACCAGAACAGAAAACCATCAAAGGACTCCTTCAGGGAAGCCCCTGAATGTCCCAGGCAGGGAGTGACATGGGTCCTGTGGCCCTGGAGGACCTCTCAGCCTCTGCCCTCAAGAATGGACCCACCTCTGCGGGCTCAAAAAATGACACTTCCCAGTCTGGAAGGGGACACATAGGGGTGTGTCTCTCCCTACCAGATTCCTAACATCTGCAAGTGGGGGGGGGCATGGTGGGTGGTCTCCACAAGCGGATGAGGGTACACGGGCTACCACTGTGATGCTGTCACCCTCGGTGCCTGGGTGGGGTGTCACCAGGTGCTGACAGAGCCAGTGGCTGGGGTCTGGGAGATGCCTGAGGGCAGGGCTTGTATTGTGGAGAGGAAGAGACACAAAATCCTTCTCTTCCTTCCCCTTCCTGCTCTCCATCCAGACGCTGTTCTTGGCGGCCACTGGTTTCCTGTGTTTCTCACCCCCCACAAGCCTAGCACCAGCCCCCCAGAGCCGCCAGCACTTCAGTGGACTCACCTCTGTGGGCTCAAGAAGTGACACTTGGGGCTGGAGCGATAGCACAGCGGGTAGGGCATTTGCCTTGCACATGGCAGACCTGGGTTCGATTCCCAGCATCCCATCAGGTCCCCCTGAGCACCACTAAGAGTAATTCCTGAGTGTAAGAGCCAGGAGTAACCCCTGTGCATCGCTGGGTGTGACCCAAAAAGCAAAAAAAAAAAAAAACAAGCGACACTTTCCGGTCCAGAAGGGAAGAGAGGCGGGGGGTGGGGGGGGTGGGGGGTTGGGAAATCTCCCTACCAGATTCTTACCATCTGCGAGAGTGGTGGGGGGCAAGGTTGGTGGTCTCACAGCCCTCTAGGCGCCTCTGATGGGGGGCCTGACCCCCACGGGTGCAGATGGGAGGACCTGCTTGGCCTATGGACCCCACAGGACTCGTGCTGGGGGTCCGAACAGATGCGAGCTGGCCATCCCCTGGGGGGGGAATAAGCCCCTTCTAATTCTGCCTTTGCCCCTAGCAGTTCTGCACAGCCCTGGTCACGACCTGTGTTCCTTTATGATTAAACTAGAGAAGAGGAAACACATAAGATGGGGGTACTACAAAGACCATCTTGGTGCCCCCCAGACCATCCAACTTGGTGGGCCTGGCCCTGAGCTCTGAGCCCACCCACCTCACCAGGGTGAGACACTCCGAGTCGTTTGGTTGGCTTGGGGGCCACACCCGGCGATGCTAAGAGTGTTACTCCAGACCCTGGGCTCGAGAAGCACTCTGGGCAGCGCTCGGGGGGGACCAGAAGGGGATGGTGAGGATACAACGTGGGTCAGCCGTGTGCAGGAAGGGCTAATGCCCCAGGCACTCCTGAGCCTCACCTTCCGGTCTCAGGACGGCAACTCTGGCCCAACAAGGGAGGGGTCAGGCTGCCCACGACACACGCCACGTAACCCCCCGCCCCCCAACCTGCAAACATCTGGATTCCCGTTTCCCAGGGGGACACTTACATGCGCTTCAGCTTCTTGTAAGGGGTGAAGGCTCCGGCGGGGATGGATTTGATGGAGTTCTGCTCCAGGCGTCTGGGAAAAAAACAGAACAGATTCCGTTAGCCACTCGGCCGTCACTGGCGGTCACTGGGTGACTGAGGACGCCAAGGCCTCCTCCACCGCGGGCTCTGGCAGGGGGCTGTGGTGGCGAGGAGGCTGGCAGCTGAGCAAGTCAAAGGGGTGAAGGTGAGGAAGAGGAAGAGGAGCTTTATTTCCTTTAGTTTAGGTATTTGGGTGGTTGGGCTATACCTGGCGATGCTCAGGGCTGACTCCTGGCTCCACACTCGGAATTACTCCTAGTGGTGCCCAAGGGGACCCTATGGGATGCTGGGGATCGAACCCGGGTTGGTTATGTGCAAGGCAAATGCCCTCCCCACTGGAGACTATTGCTCCGGCCATGGACTTTAGTACAGTGCACTGTAGCACTGCCGTCCCATTGTTCATCGGTTTGCTCAAGCGGGCACCAGTAACGTCTCCATTGTGAGACTTGTTGCTACTGTTTTTGGCATATCGAATATGCCACGGGGAACTTGCCAGGCTCTGCCGTGCGGGCGGGATACTCTCGGTAGCTTGCCGGGCTCCCGGAGAGGGACGGAGGAATCGAACCCGAATTGGCCGCGTGCGAGGCAAACGCCCTACCCGCTGTGCTATTGCTCCAGCCCTAGTGCAGTGCAGGGGCTAATAATCCCTGCACAGCATGCTGAATGGTCAGAGAGCTGGCCACAGAGTTGGAAACTGCTTAGCGAGTATGTCCTAAATTCCTCATCCCCTGCCTGCCTGCCTGCCTGCCTGCCTGCCTGTCTGTCTGTCTGTCTGTCTCTCTCTCTCTCTCTCTCACACACATACACACACACACACACACACACACACACACCAGTAAGGAGGGGACGACGACACTAATAAACTTGGCTTTGGGGACCTGTTCACCGTGTGACGCACATGATTCTCAAAACAACCCCCATGGGTCACTCGAGATGTGTCGTTTCGCTTCGTCCACTCGGCCTCAGTGAAGTCAGGACAGATGACTTTCCGTCAGAACACGGAAGAGCAGATGGAGACGGATGGGGCAGTGGGGAGTGGGCTGCCTCGCAGGGTCTGGCCACAGCCTGGAGGGCTCCCAGCAGAGGCGACCAAGGGCCTCTTCATCTCTGGGCTTTCCCAGGAGGGAGAAAGGACCCTCGAAGCCAGCTCCCGGCCTGCCAGTCCTCGGGCTCACCTACACGCCACATCTGGGAGGACCGGGGGGCGGGGGGGGGGGGGTGTCTCCGGGGCTGCCTGCCGCTGGGCTTCTGGCCTGGGCCCTGGCCCGGACTCTCCTGAGGGGTTCCTCATCTACACCAGAGGTTGCATTGCGCGCCCGGCCAGAAGCAAGAGCCAGGACACACTTGACTTCCTGGTGTGTGTGTGTGTGTGTGTGTGTGTGTGTGTGTGAGAGAGAGAGAGAGAGAGTGAGAGAGAGAGACAGAGAGAGAGAGAGTCAGAGAGACAGAGACAGAGAGAGACAGAGATAGAGAGGGACAGAGACAGAGAGACAGTAAGAGACAGAGACGGAGAGACAGAGACAGAGAGAGACACACACACACACACACAGAGAAAGAGAGAGAGAGAGAGCGTCCAGGGTCTACCCTTTCTCATCTCTCCAGCTGACTTCCTGCCACCCAGAAGAGGTGTGCCGGGAGCAGGTGGGCGGAGGGGGGCCTCTGGTCCAGGTGATGGATGGCGTTCGTGGACCTCAGCCTCCACACAGCGCCCTCATCCATCTCCCGGCCTCCGAGGAACCCACCTCTTCATCATCTCCTCATCTGGCATGGCTGCTGCCTAAGACCCTCTGCTGGGAAGACACAAGGGGTGTGTGTGTGTGCGTGTGTATGAGTGTGAGTATGTGTGTATGAGTGAGTATGTATATGTGTAGGTGTGTGTATGTGTGTGTGAGTGTGAGTATGTGCGTATGAGTGTGTGAGTATGTATATGTGTAGGTGTGTGTATGTGTGGGTGTGTGTGTATGTGTGTATGAGTGCATGTGAGTGTGTATATGTGTGTGAGTGTGTGTACATGTGTGAGTGTGTATGTGTATTTTTATGTGTGTATGTGTGAGTGTGTGTGTATATGTGTGTGAGTGTGTGTATGTGTGGGTGAGTGAGTGTGAGTGTGTATATGTGAGTGTGTATGTGTATATGTGTGAGTGTGTATGTGTGCATGTGTGTGAGTGTATGTGAGTGTGTCTGTGTGTGAGTGTGTATATGTGTGTGAGTGTATGTGTATGTTTATGTGTGTATGTGTGTGTATATGTGTGTGAGTGTATGTGAATGAGTCTATGTGTGAGTGTGTATATGTGTGTGAGTATATGTGTATGTGTGTGTGAGTGTGTATGTGTGTATATGTGTGTGAGTGTATGTGAGTGTGTGAGTGTGTCTGTGAGTGTGTGTGTGTGAGTGTGTATGTGTGTGTGTCTGTGAGTGTGTATGTGTGTGTATATATGAGTGTGTGAGTGTGTATGTGTGAGTATGTGTGTGAGTGTGTATGTGAGTGTATGTGTGTGAGTGCATGTGAGTGTGTGTATTTGCGTGTGTGTGTGTGTGTGTGTGTGTGTAGGGAACGGGGTCCCTGAGGAACAGGACAGGAGGCCCTGTTCTGGCTGGGAGGAGCCCACCTGTCTTGAAGAGCGCTCCCGTCCGCAGAGCGCGCGAGCGAGGGAGACAGCCTTATTAATTTGCGCCTGGCCGGCGTGCTGGCCTCTTCGCTGGGGGAGCGAGTATTTGTTACTGGAACGGCTAATGGAGCCGTTTGCCAGCAATTTTCCCATCGCAAACAACATCTCGCTGCTAATGCAGCGCAGTTTGTCAGGCCGGCCCGTAACACAGACAAATCGCTCTCGGGCCGCGGCCGGGCGGGGAGGAGAGCGGGGAAGGGCGGGCCAGAACCTTCTCGGCGGCCTGGCGAGGGAAGGGTGGGCACAACAGGCCCGGAGGGGCCCCTGGGTGAAGCACAGAAGCAGCCTGTGGACCCGAGGGGCGGAGGGGAGGGGTAGTCACAGCCACTTCTTTTGTTGTTGTTGTTGTTGTTTTTCCTCTTTGGGTCACACCCAGCGATGCTCAGGGGTTCCTCCTGGCTCTGCACTCAGGAATCACTCCTGGCGGTGCTCGGGTGTCCCTATGGGATGCTGGGATCGAACCCGGGTTGGACAAACGCCCTCCCCACTGTGCTATCGCTCCAGCCCCCGCAGACATGGTTCTTAATGGCCAGGTCGGTCCATACTCACAGGCCGGGGCCCATCAGGGACGCGCCAGACCATGGCTGGTGAGGGCAGGGGGAATGTGCCTCAGGCAGGGTGAACCCCCAGTTGCCCCACGGCCCCTCCTGCCTACTGCCTAAGGCCAACTGGCAGAGTTCTATTTGCAAAACATGGTGGTCTGTGCTTTTGGCCCCCTGGGTGGTCCTCAGTGGACTTTGCTCTAGTCTTGCCAACTGGCATTGTTCACAGCATCCCCCCCACCCCCGCATTCCCGCATGCCCGCCCTGCCTGGTGGGATGGGCCGAGTCAGAGAGGTCAAGTCCCGGGGTAGCCCGGAAGCACTTACATCTCCACGATGCCCTCGGGTAGGTTGGCAGGGATCTCCGTCAGCCCCTTCCCGCGGCAGTCCACGATGTTGTTGCTGCAGGTACAGGCCGAGGGGCAGGAGATGGAGTTGGCGTTGCAGGTGGGCGGCTCCGAGTGGGGGCCTGGGGGTCAGAGGTCAAGGGTCAGAGGTCAAAGCGGGACTGGAAGGAGCTCACAGCTAGAGAGAAGGGCTAGACCTGGCCCCTGCTCCAGGCGTTGGGGGAGGGACCGAGGGGTCCAGCAGAATCTGAAGGTCACATCTGGGTACGTCCACATCAGACCCTCCCCAAGGATGTACCCACCCCTCCCTCCCCTGGCCCACCCTAAAGAGCAAAGTGGAGTGTCCCTACCCTCTGCCATCCTCAGGCCTAGAAGGGCTTGGGTTGGTGCCTGGAGTTTAACTGGGGACATTTATCCAGTGCGAAAGGCCATGCAGTGATTGAAGATCCATTCTTCCCTGGACCCCTGCGTCTCTCCTCTCCCCCCCCCCCCCCCCTTTTGCTTTTTGGGTCACACTTTAAGATGCTCAGGGCTGACTTCTGGCTCTGCACTCAGGAATCACTCCCTGCAGTGCTCGGGGGACTCTATGGGATGCTGGGATCAAACCTGGGTTGGCCGCGTACAAGGCAAATGCCATCCTCACTGGATTGTCACTCTAGCCCTCTCTCTCTCTCTCTCTCTCTCTCTCTCTGTCTCACTTGAGCAATCTTTCTTTCTTTCTTTCTTTCTTTCTTTCTTTCTTTCTTTCTGTCTGTCTTTTTGGGTCACACCCGGCGATGCACAGGGGTTCCTCCTGGCTCTGCACTCAGGAATTACTCCTGGTGGTGCTTGGGGGACCCTATGGGATGCCGGGGATTGAACCTGGGTCGGGCGTGTGCAAGGCAAAAGCCCTCCCTGTTGGACTATGGCTTGGTCCCCCATGGAAATCTGCCTTCTGTAAGCAAACAGTCCCCCAACCTCCGCCATGGCACAGAGAGGCAGGTGGGACTGTTTCCAGAAGTGACTCTGCTACCTTCAGCCTCGAGACCAGTGCTCTGAGCCCCAAGCTCCGGCACCCCTGCAGGCTCAGTGGGGAGAGCCCTGCCCATCAATCACTTCAGAGGGTCTTTACATGGCGGTGGGGGGGAGACAGGGCTTTAGGCCACACCAGGCAGTGCTAGGGCTGTCCCCATGAAAGGCAAGCGCCTCACCCCTCTGAGCTCAACCCAAAGGTTGGCCCTGGGCCACTTTGGGGGTCCCTGGCAGAGGCTCTCTGCTCCTGGTCTTCAGAGGGAAGGTGCCAGGCAGCAAAAGAGTCTCTCCCTTCTGCCTTCAGAAGTCAGGGCTTTTGAGATGCAGATGCTGCTCCCGCTAGGACCCCCCCCCACACTGGGGCTCTGCACATCAAAGGCAGGTCCTGGTCCCCTGGGCCCCTTTCAGTCCCTGGACCTGGGACAGGTGGTGTCTGCAGAGGGCAGGGCCTCCACCCCACCGCCCTCTCCCAAGCCCCCAAAAGTGACTGGGATGGGGCAGGGGTGAGGGAGGGGGGAAGTGGGGAGCCCTGGAGTGGAGAGTTTTTAAAGGCGCCCCTGTCCATGGGCCTGTCTGGGGGTGGGGGGCCTCTGGTCACCCCTCTGTGTTGCCAAGGCTGCAGAGAAAGACCGGATAGCATGGAAATTGCAGCCTCTTCACGGGCAGGGGTAGAGTGAGGGGGTGGGGGGAGTTTGGGGGGGCGTCCCCCTTGCTGGGCTCGTTCTCCCTGTAGACCTGTCTCTCTCCCCCAGCTGGGGGGCACTCTGAAGCTGAGAAGGGGAGCCCCCCTCCACACTTCCTCCCCTTTTTACTCTGCAGCTCTCCTGGGCAATAAGGAGCCGGTGTGAGACCGCCCCCCACCCCCCCAGGGAGCTGGTCCAGCCCCTCCAGCCAGGCCGACCAACAAAACAACACCCCTCAACGAACATGGGGGTGTGGGTGGCAGGGTGGATTCAGCCACCTGTCCCGGAGGTTCAGGAGGTCAAGGGTGAGAGTTCCTTTTATTTTATTTTATTTTATTTTTTGCTTTTTGGGTCGCACCCGGTGATGCACAGGGGTGACTCCTGGCTCTGCACTCAGGAATTACTCCTGGTAGTGCTCAGGGGACCGTATGGGATGCTGGGAATCGAACCCGGGTCGCCGCGTGCAAGGCAAATGCTATCGCCCCAGCCCTGTGAGTGAGTGCTAAACACTGGCCCTGTCTGCTTGCTAGCGGGGCCCCATCCCTGCCCAAGCCTCTCCCGATGAGCAGGAGGTGGGGGTCCCGCAGAGTCCCCCTGATCCCGGGGGAAGGAGAGGAAGCAGGGAGCGGGTCGGCTCTTGCCTCTCTGGAGCGGAACTTCTCCCAGCAGAGAAGCGCCGATGGCCCAGGAGCGTGTGGGAATAAATTAACTCCGGTATTTAGATGAAGCGTCCCCAGTGGCCTCTGGCCTTTCAAAAGCCAACAACAGCCCGCGAGGACAGTGGGGCCCGGGCGATTACGACACGAGAATATAAATGAACGTGATTTAAATACCAGAGGCATGATAATTTTGGGAATGGCTAAATAAACCTAATCATCTAATTCACACGCTATCCAATTATGGTGTTTTAATTAAAACCTCTTAAGGGGACGGGGCGGCTCGCCACGGCTTACCTTAATTGTCTTTCGACTTGCTAACCAGTCCCCCAATTTCATTTCTTGCAAAAAAGGGAAAAAAAAGAGAAAGAAAAAGAAAGAAAGGGAGAGTGTCTGGTTTCCAGGGAGATTTCATCCCAGGCTATTTTTCCCGATTCCTAATGAGGCAGCGGCATGTGACGGAGCAGTTTGGCGACTGGGCTCTCTGCTGGGCACGGTGGCAGGGGAGAGGACCGGGACCAGGCCAGGCCTCTCATTCCTGCAGGGACAGCAGAGTGGGGAGAACTGGGAAAGCCTGGGAACTGCTGGAAGTGGCAAGTGGAGACATTCTCGGCTGGAGGGACCAGCAACAGACACGAGGAAGGTGGATTCTAGCCATCAGCCCCCCCCCCCCCCCCGAAAACACTTTAACTCGGGGCAGAAGGTGCGAGAAACCGCAGCTCACATGTCTGCAGAGCTGGGGGGTGGGTGGACAGCAGACAATAGTGTCCTCCAGCCTCCTGGGCACCAGACCTGCCCCTTACAAGGAAAGTGAGGGAGAACCCCCCCACCCCATCCCCTTGTGCAGTCACAGGCCATGGGGCGGGAGAGGGGAACTGTTAGGAGTAAGATAAGGTCTCCCCCCCCCCAACCCAGCCCACAATCTGGGTGTAAAGTCCCCCAGCCTTGTCTCCCCCATGAAGATCTCTCTCTCTCTCTCTCTCTCTCTCTCTCTCTCTCTCTCTTCTTTTTAGGTTGCACAGCAGATAGGGCATTTGCCTTGCATGCATTCGACCCAGGTTCGATTCCTCTGTCCCTCTCGGAGAGCCCAGCAAGCTACCGAGAGTATCCTGCCCGCATGGCAGAGCCTGGAAAGCTACCCGTGACGTATTCGATATGCCAGACACAGTAACGACAAGTCTCACGATGGAGACGTTACTGGTGCCCGCTCGAGCAAATCGATGAACAACCAGAGGACAGTGCTACAGTGCTTTTGAGGTCACACCCGGCGATGCTCAGGGGTTCCTCCTGGCTCTGCACTCAGGAATTACTCCTGGCAGTGTTTGGGGGACTCCATGGGATGCTGGGAATCAAACCCAGGTTGGCTGCGTGCAAGGCAAATGCCCTCCCCACTGTGCTCTCACTCCAGCCCCTAATGAAGACATCTTAGGGGCGGGGAGGGGAGGGGAAGGTCATGCATCTGGCCCGTGCCTGCTTGCTGGTGCATTCTGGGAGTTGGGCGGAGGGAGACCCAGGGGAAGTCTGCTCCAGACAGCTGGGATGAGTTCATCGTGGTGCTCAGGGCTGACTCCTGGCTCTGCACTCAGGACTCACTCCTGGCGGGCTCAGGGGACCCTCTGGGATATCAGGGATGCAGCCTGGGTCGGCTGCGTGCAAGGCAAGTGCCCTATCGCTATGCTCTCGGGCCCCTTTTTTATTTTTTGAAGGGTCCAGGGAGGCAGGGAGGCTTTAAGTTGACATGCAGAGCCGGGGTGGCCTGACTCTCCCAGGCCTTCCTTTCTCCTGGGAAGCTCACCTTTTCCTTTTGTGCTTTGTTGCTTTGGCTTTTTTACACCTTAGCGGTGCTCAGGGCCTACTCCTGGCTCTGGGCTCAGGGCTTCCTCCCGGGGGTGCTCCCTTGGAGACCATCTCTATGGGATGCTGGGAATCGAACCCAGGTTGGCCGCATGCCAGGCCAACACCCTCCCCGCTAGGCCTCTGCTCTGACCCCTGACCACTTGTTTCCCCTCTTTACTGGGCCCACGTCCTCCTCTGGCATCACTCAGGGAAGAGCTTGCATGAGGAGCACGGCCGGATGTTTCTCGACACACAGCGGCCACCGCCAGGTCTCCAAGACAAGACTGTGTCTCACTCAGCCAGGTGCCGGGCTCTGCCACTGGCTGTGGTGTATGAGACGGTCAGAGAAATACAGTCTCCTCCGTGACCTCCGGCCACACGCCGGCCACCTCTTCCTACCCTCACTCCTCACCCGTGCACACCCTCTCTCTCCACCAATCACTAAAGAGGTACAACCTTCGGGTAGGGGCTCCCCTCGTGGTACCCCAGTAAGGCCAGGGGTGGGTAACAGGTCTTAGAGGATCCAGGTACCATTCCCCTCCCTCCCCACCCGCCCACCTGTCCCACGACTGCATCTGACAAAGACCTTTCCAGAAAACAAAGCCCCACTTATGCATGCATGTGCACGGACACACACACACACACACACACACACACACACACACACACACACACACACGGGAATCCCTTTGTTCCTGGGCTCCTGTGAGTGTCTGGGGCAGCGTCTAAAGGGTATTTCCTGCACACAGGGCCCTTTGCACTATTTTTTTTTCTTTTTGGATCACACCTGGCGATGCACAGGGGTTCCCCCTGACTCTGCACTCAGGAATTACTCCTGGTGGTGCTCGGGGGACCCTATGGGATGCTGGGAATCGGACCCAGGTCGGCCGCGTGCCAGGCAAACGCCCTCCCACTGTGCTCTCGCTCCAGCCCAGATGCAGCCTTCTCGTCAAGGAGACTGGCTTGGGGACACTGGTCTGTCCTGTGGATGCAGAGACCGGGGTTCCCTGTTGGGGGCTGGAGGGGTTGCCCCCTACTCCCCATGATGGGAGAGGGTCCCTCTCCCGATGACGGCCCCCGGGAAGGATGGCGGCGGCTGGCGCCTGGGCGTGCTCTCTCTAATTAGGCTTCCTCTCTCCCTCATGGGCGACTCCTTTACTCTGTAATTATTTCTTTCACGGGCACTTATGCCGATATTGTACCCTGCGCCCGATAATTGCTGTAATTACCGTCCCTGTATTGGAGTGTGCGGAGCCTGTGTGATCAACGGTTTTATCATACGTGTTGGGATGGGAAGGGGTTAGCTCAGTGGGCGGCGATAGGAATTATCCAGGGGGCTGCTGCGGGGGAGGAGGGGGGGGCGACGGGCTGTAAAAACATTTGGGGTGAGGGCGGGAGGGCGCGGGGCCGGGGCAGGGGTGGGGGGGAGAATACAGAGGAACAGCAGAGAATGAGATGGAGCCGGGTGCTTGAGCTCTGGTGCTGCAGGGCTGGCCACGGCCCTTCCATGCTTAAGGGGGCACCAGGAAAGAAAAGTAAAGTGGGGGGTGACCCCCAGCACTAAGCTCCCTGTCTCTCTTCCTCCCTGCACAGCAGCACCCCAGAATCAGCCTTCAGAGAGGGCAAAGACACCCCCCCTCACCCTTTTCCTGCATTCCACAACTGGGCGAGGGGCCGGCTCCAGGGCGCCCCCTAGGGGAGAGGCCTCACATATCCTGGTACTCAGGTTTCCGGACTTAGGAACCGGCCTCAACCGAGAACTTTCTCTCTTCCTCCCTCTCCTTTCCCAGTAAAATCAGCCGGGGGTGGGGGGCTGCTTGACTATCCTGCCACCAGGGGGGACGAGAGAGGCCCCGAGTATGGTGCAGGGTGTCAGTGAAGAGCAGGAACATGAGGCAGTGAGTTGGCGGCACTCACTCTCGTGCCTGGGTTCCCTGGAGGACAGGACATGCCACACCTGCTCCTCTTTCGTGCCAGCCACGTGCGGTCTAGCGCCAGTTTCGTGCATCCGCTAAACACACACGAGCCCTCTGGGCCTTCCCAGCGATGTGCTTTGGTGCCTTTTTGCCCTCTACCCTCCTTCCAGCTCCCATTTCTCTACTCTGCAGACATGGCAGAACGTCCCCTGAGAAACCAGATATGGGGCAAAGAGCAGAGCCAGTAGGTGAACCCCGGGACCCTCCCCAGGACCCTCATTTCCCCGAGCAACACACCAGGCGGGGCTTAGCCAATCAGCAGACGCTAACGTGGCTCACAAAAGGGGATGCTTTGAGGGACAGGGAGGTGTACCGGGCAGCGAGCCCCAAGTTTCTGATGCTTCCCCCCACTCCAAGTACAAAGGCTTCTCTCTTAGGACGCCCCCTGGCTGCCCGACCCCCGAGCCCCCAGACCCGGGTTCCCCTGCAGAGCTCAGTAGCCGGGAGAGTGTGGGTAGCAAGCTCAGGGGGTGTGGGAGGGCACGCGGGCGGGCCTCACCTGCACACACGAACTCTTTCTTCTGCACGTCGGCCACGCTGAAGCCCCGCAGGTGCACGGGGGCCATGCAGAGGGTGAACTGGCCGATGGCCCGTCGCTGCCGCAGCCAGTCTGAGAGCCAGGCCAGGTGACAGTCACACAGGAGGTTGTTGGAGTGCAGGCGCCTGGGGAGGGAAGGAGCGGAGGGGAGGCACGGTCATGGAGGGAAGAGTGTGTGCGTGTGTGTGTGTGTGTGTGTGTGTGTGTGTGATGGGGAGACATGAGGAAGGAGATGGTCACAGCATGAAGCGTGTGTGTGTGTGTGTGAGTGTGTGTGTGTGTGTGTGTGTGTGTGACCGGGAGACATGAGGAGGGAGATGGTCACAGCGTGAAGCATGTGTGTGTGTGTGTGTGTGTGTGTGTGTGTGTGTGTTTGAGATGGGGAGACATGAGGGGGAGATGGTCACAGCATGAAGTGTGTGTTTGTGTGTGTATGTATGTGTGTGTGTGTGTTGGGCGGGGGGGGCATGTACGGCATCCCATGGAAATGCACCCCTCTGCTCGACTGTGAGACCCGGACGGCCTCACGCGCCCCGGGGGACTCAGGACACAGTTTCTCACTCAGTCAGGCCCACGCCGTGGGGCCAGGGCTGAGGTGACTCCCTTGCTTCTTTGTTTTAACTCGTTTGGGCCACACCCGGTGGTGCTCAGGGCCGACTCCTGGCTCTGTGCTCAGGGCTGACTCCTAACGGAGCTCGGGGGACCCTATGGGATGCTGGGGATGGAACCTGGCTGGGCCGCGTGCAAGGCAAATGCCCTCCTCGTTGTGCTTTCGCTTGTGGCCCCTGACTCCTGGCTCTGTGCTCAGGGATCACTCCCGCCAGGACTCAGGGAGGACTCTGGGGGGTGCCAGGGATGGAACTAGGTGGGCCATGGACAGGGCAAGACCCTTTAGCTCTGCACTTTCTCTCTCTCTCTCTCTCTCTCTCTCTCTCTCTCTCTGGTTCGGGGGTGGGTCCATTCTAAGAGAGAAGTGAGGACTCAGTGACCACAGTGACCATACGAAGATGACCTCTGGGTGCGGAGGGCAGAGGGCCAGTGACTGGACGCCCAGGCCCCCCCCAGAGAGCATGGCAGTGATAAGGGGGTTCCGTTTCCATGCCGGGGGGGGGGGTGTCATCGGGCACATGGAGACCGGCAGTGAGCGGAGTGTCTGGCCTTGCCGTGGGAGCAGGGGCAGCACCGCCGACCCCTCACGGCGGGGCTGTGTGTATTGATGCCCTGTGCCGTCAGTGCCTATTGGGCTAAGGGACCCAGGCAGAGCGGAGGAGGGGAGGTGAGGTGAGGCGTGGCCTCACCAAGAGGGATCATTTCTGGGAAGGGGTCAGGACGGCGGTTTCCCCCTGGGGAAGGTTCTAGGTGGCTGGTAATGCCTGCAGCTACAAGGTTCATCTACCCATCCTTCACTACACACTGTCCTTCTCTTGCTGGTGGTGGCCGTGGGGACCCCCCCCCCCCCCCAGGGGACCTTGGGAGCCAGAGGGGCATGAAAGCCACCCAGAGGTACTTCCGGCACCAGCTCAGGTCACGTGACCTCCTTTTGGGACATGCCCCTCGGAGCTGGTGAGGCCCTTCCTGGTTTGCTGTGATGAACAGGTGGTGCTCCTCTCAGCCCAACACTCACATTACACTTTCTCTTTTTTTGGGGGGGTGGGGGGGTGGTTGTACCCAGTAGTGCTCAGAGCTGACTCCTGCCGGGGAATGCCCAGGGATCTCTCCTGGTGTGGGGATCGTATGAAGTATCGGAGATCCAATGAGGATCAGCGATGGGCAAGGTACGGGCGATGGCTCTGACCCTACTGCTGATATTTTAGTGATCAGAGACTCTCTGAACCCTCAGGCCAGAGATGCCTTTGGCAGGGCGACGCCCAGGGCCCAGGAGGGGAGTGAAGCCTGGCTGAGCCCCCTCAGCCTGCTCTCAGCCAGACCCTTCCGGGCCTTCTGCCTTTGCTCCCCACTGAGGGGACGAGGGCGAGCCCAGGTTTCCGACTGGCCGCACTGTGACGGTGCTCTGGGCTCCGCGTCATCTGCAAAACGGGGACATTTCCCAGGGCCTCCTTCAGATGCCGAAAGCGCCCACGGGAAGTCTGGGTGGTGTTGGGGGGGAGGGTGTTGGGCTGGGTGCGTTGCCCAACTGGGGGAGAAACGGTTCGCCCTCACGGCCGTCGCAGCGAGGACAGGGACGGGCATGTCAGCCCCGCCTGCCCGCCCCAGCCCTGGCAGTGCCCACCTCCAGTTCTCACGGCTCACACTGCCAGGCATTGCCACGGGGTGGGATACCCCCAACCCCCTCCCCTGCACCCCGCCTGCTCTTTCACCGATTTTGGCGGGTGGGAAGAAGCTTCCCCCTTAGAGAGACCACGGTTATATGGAATATAAGGTGATATGGAATATATGGAATATAAGGTCTTTTCCGTTGGGAAGTGGTGTCGATCAGCCAGAGAAGCTGGACTGAATTCCCCAGCAAACCCTTTGGGAGGGCCAGTGGAACAGAGACGCTTCCCTATAGAAACCCCGCTGACGACTTGACTTTCTCTCTCTCTCTCTCTCTCTCTCTCTCTCTCTCTCTCTCTCTCTTTCTCCCCACCTCCCAGCCCCCAGCCCTTCTCCACCACCATCCACTCCCTGCTCCCAACTTTAATTACAGCGAAGGGGGGGGGGGATTAGTCAGCCGGAGTCTCTGGGGAGTTCTGGATGGGGGAGTCGGCGGCTGGAGTCGGCTCGGAAATTAAACTAAAGAGGAAACGGCAGTGGGGCAGGGAGCGAAGAGAGAGACAGACAGACAGACTGATCTCAGTCCAGCAGACGGGGGCTTGGGACCCCGGGGAATGGGGGAGCAGAAGCAAGGAGGCACCCTCCCTGCCTTCCCTCTGTCCCCAAACAAAGTCCCCTCCCCCCAATTTCAGCCACAGCAGCATCTTCTGCCACCCGGGGGACCCTCACCCCCACCCAAACCCCTGGCTCTGTGCTGGTTGCTCCCAGCTACGGTGGAAAAAGGAGAAGGGTCCATTCCCAGGGGAGGGGGTGTTTCTGCAGGCGAGGAGCATGCAAGACCCACCTGGGTCGGATCCTCAGCACCCCAGATGGTCCCCCGAGTCCTGCCGGGGAGTGATCCCCGAGCACAGAGCCCTGAATACGGCTGGGTGTGGCCCCCAACAAACAAAATAATAATAATTAATAATAACAAAACTACAGGTCCTGCCTTGCTGAGCTGCTGCTGGGGAGCTTTGAAGAGTTCTCTGCAGACTATAGTTTCTCTTTAAATAAAAAAAAAAGTGTTTTGTTTTGTTTTTTTTTTTTTTAAATTCAGGCTGGAGGGGCTGGAGCAATCCAGCACAGAGCTTGCCTTGCACACGGCCGGGCCAGGCTTGATCCTCGGCATCCCATAGGGTTGCCATAGGCTTCCCCAATCCCACAGGATCCCCCAATCCCATAGGATCCCCCAATCCCGCCAGGAGCGGGGTCTGGAACTCAGAGCCAGTATGGGATCCTGAACACAGCCGGGGGTGGCCCCTGAACCAAAAATAAATAAGAGAAGGGACGGAAAAGGACCAACGTCCTTGAGCTGAAGCAGGCTGCCAAGTGGGGGGTCCGAAGGAGGTTGGGGGCACAGGCTCGGGGGGGTGCCTGGCTGGTGTCTGCGGCATGCGCCTCAGGACCGGGCAGACGGGCTCCAGCCTTGACTAACGGGTTGGCCCCCTCCCGGTGCTCTGTGTGCTCCCTCTGAGGTCTGCTTCCACTCTGCTCTGCTCCTTGCTCCGTGCTCCCTGGAGGAGCCCAGGGTTCCTTCTGGCCCCAGCAGCGTTCCCAGCCCTGAGCCTGACTGGGCAGGAAGCTTCCCTGGGGGGTCTGGGTGGAGGCAGTCAGGTTATTTTCCTAACTTGCTCCAGGGGGCGCTGTGCTCCTGTTCGGGATTCCCAGTTCCCTGTAGATCCACCTTGCTCGGTTATACTGGTTACTTAGTATTTTCTGTCCATTTTTCCCCTCCCCCACTCCCTTTTCCCCCCCTTCTGATTTTTTGGGTCACACCTGGCGATGCGCAGGGGTTCCTCCTGGCTCTGCACTCAGGAATGACTCCTGGCGGTGCTCGGAGAACCATACGGGATGCTGGGAATCAAACCTGGGTCAGCTGCGTGCAAGGCAAAAGCCCTCCCCGCTGTACTATCACTCCTGCCCCTCCCTTTTTTCCCAAAACTTTTTGTTTGTTTGTTTTGGACCACACTGGGGGATGCTCAGGGCTTACTCCTGGCTCTGGGCTGAGGGATCACTCCTGGCAAACTCAGCGTATCATATGGGACGCCAGGGACCAAACCTGGGTCCACTGCAGGCAAGTCAAACGCCTTATCCACTGCTCTATCACTCCGGCCCTGTTCATTTCTTTTTTAAGAAAAAAAATTATTAAATGTGCGATGGTAACAGTGAGAAGAAAACTACCAACATTAGTGGTCCCCTATGCGTCAGGTCCTTTTCACACTGCAACTCTCTGGGGACTCTGCTCCATCCCTGTTTGCAGAGTGTGTGTGGGGGGCTGGGGGTGTGTGTGATAAGGGACCAGTGAGAACTCTGACTCTTTGTCTGGCCCTTGATTGCTGTGGCTGGAAGTTCCTGGGGGTGTGTGTGGGGGAAGCCCTCCTCCCCTCCCACGCCCACCAGTGCAAGAACCAACGTTTCTGTGGAAGGGTCCCAGCTACCATTCCCCATGCAAGTTGGACCGTGAGAGCTGAAACGCAGGGTGGGCTCTTGGGCACACTCGGCGGCCAAGCATAAGAGCCATGCGCAGAGCAGCATGAAGTGACCCAGGCACCGCCCCTAACCCTTCCCTCCCCCCCCCCACATACACACACACCCGGGCCAGCTCCTGGCAAGCACTGCAGCCGAGCACCCGAAAAATCAAGCGCATGGGAGCATTGCCTCACTCAGCCAAATGCAAGAGCATCACACCGCAGTCACCAGCAAAGGCAGGGGAAGGGGGACGCAGCCCTTTGGAAAAGCCAGCAGCACCCACTGGGCGGGAAACTTACAGGAGCTACGAGTCAAGATCTGGTGTCCAGTTCCAGGACACGAGAACTGAGCTCGGTACAGGCATTCTGGGGGTGAGCTGTTCCCTGTAAGCACACACACACACACACACACACACACACACACACACACCACCCCTCGGTACAGGCATTCTGGGGGTGAGCTGTTCCCTGTAAGCACACACACACACACACACACACACACACACACACACACACACACACACACCACCCCTCCTGGAATGCATTCGGCACAGTCAGGACGAAGAGCCAAAGCTACCGCTTCCCAGGGCAGAACCTCACCTGGGAGCACGGTGGGCAGTGAGTGTGGTAGTCGGGGTTCAGACAAGAAGTGACCAAAGAGCCCTCCCTGGCCCACCCCCCCTTCCCCTGGGGCGTTTCCCAGAGCAGGAAGTGATGCTAATCTGTGGCAAAGAGACAAAACAGTAGCTAAGGAAATGGTGAGTCATCAGCCCGTGTTCTCTGCATCCTGTGACAACACAGATTCATTCACTTTTCCCAGGAGGACAAAAAACACAAAGGATTCTGACGTGCCCGTGCTCCCGAGAGAGAGCCAAGGTTGCCCTCGGCCGAACGGAGGTTCAGGACTACGGACAGCGCCACGAGGCACCTTCCCCGTCTTTCCTCCACCCACACCAACACACACACACACACACACCCACACACACACACACACACACACACACACACACACACACACCCCATTGGAGAACTTCAGAAGGAAGTTACACTTGGACAGAGAAACCAACATATGCCCCACCGCGGCTCCCCAATTCAGGCGCTGCCTCTGGTCTGTGAAAGGTGTCCCCCCACCCTCCCACAAGGGGCTGGTACTCACAGGGTCCGGATCTTCGGCATGTGGTTGAAGCTGGTGACCAGGATGCGGCTGATGTTGTTGTTGTTGAGAGTGCTGTGGAGACAGGAAAATGGTCCGGGTGTCGGTCAACAAGGGCAACCGAGATGCTGTCCCAGTAATGGGGGCCACCGGTGGGCGGCCACCACGGCAAAGCGGAAGATGACCTCGGCAGGGCTCGGTCTGCAGAGGGCAGGAGAAACCCTGAGACTTCAGGGTTCCCCCGCTGCTTCCCTATGCCCAAGCCCCCCTACAAGGTGGGCTGCAATTCAGCTCCCTGGAATCCTATCAAACCCTTTGTTACAGTAGCTTCCATCCTGGCCACTGCGGACCCAGCTACAGATACATTCTTGCCCTCTCCATAGACAGAAGGCGGCAGATTTGTGCGACAGTTGGGCTGAGTGACCCGGGTCCTGGTGGACCGGCTGCTACCCTCGGGTCACAGATAAGGAGGCTGAGCGGCGGAGGGACGAGGTCCCGTTCTCCAGCACCAGAGCGCGGAGCTCTGGAGACAGGATGTGAAGTCACGCTCTCGCTTCACCTTGCACCCGTTGCTCGCCCCGAATTGCCCGCACCCAGGGCTTTTTTACCTGTGGGTGTTTGCCGGGCGAGGCTCAGGGCAGGGAGACGCCTCCCGTTTCCCCCGCTGCACCCCGATGCCAGGACTGGGAGCATCCCACCGGGCACCACGGGCCCTGAAGGGGCTTTTCTCCTGGCTCCGGGGAAAGGGAAGAAGAGAAGGGAGCTTCACCCATGAAGGAAGAAGACTCGCTGGAGGACGGAGGGAGGCCACGGTGGTGCGGGGGGCTGAGCACAGAAGGAGCTGCAGAAAGGCAGACCCCCAGAAAGGCAGCAGCCACGGCCCTCTGTGGCTTCGGCGGGGGGCTGCAGAGAGGAAGAGGCAACTGCGACTCCTGCACCCCAGCCCTGCCTGCCGTTGGCTGCATCCCGGCGAGCAAGCATCGCGCACTCCTTGTTCCTCTGCAGGCTCCGCCCAGGGGCCACGCCCCTTTCCCACACCAGGCCCCGCCCCTCTCCCAGGCCACGCCCCCTTCCCCACGCCAATGCCGTTCCCTCATTCCCTCTCACCATGCCCTCCCAGTTTCCGGGACATTCTCTTTGTCTGGGTGTGCCTGCAGATTTCTAAGGGGGTCCCGCGTGCTTACAGGGGGCGGCCTCAGGCAAATACTCATCTCACTGGGACTCTCTGCAGCCAGGGGGGACGGAACCGGGACTCAGTCAATGGGAACTGGCCACTTCACCCACCGAGGGTGGGGGGTTCCAGCCTTGCATGGCCTGACCTGTCCTCCCCAATACCCCCACGTCCAGGGCACGAGAAGGAGCTCTGTCCAGCACGCGACCGTCCCCAGGTCCCCGCGGCAGAGCCTTCTCCCACCTCTAGCTGAGTCCCAGGATGTCCCCACCTCTCACAGTGGGGACTGCCCAGCTAGTCTGATTCCCCATGTCTGAAGGGCACGTGTGGGGCCTGCAAGGTCCGTGCCTGGGTGACCACTGGCACGTCAGGCCTGCCTGTGGTTGAGAGGAAAAACCAGAGTGGGGGTGCGGGGGTAGGTGGGGGGGACCTCGCTAAATACTGACCTCACTCAGCATTTGGTTGAACCTTCCCTGGTACTTCATTCTGTGGGACTCGAACTTCCTTTGTTCTTGTGTGCATGCATGTGTGTGCGTACATGCTTGTGTGTGTGTGTGTGTGTGTGTGTGTGTGTCTTTCCTAGCAAGGTCCATCCAAGATGCCTTCAACAACATTTTTCCTTCCTTCCTTCCTTCCTTCCTTCCTTCCTTCCTTCCTTCCATCTTTCCCTCCCTTTTTTTTTTGGGGGGGGGCTTCACCTGGCAGCGCTCAGGGCTCACTCCTGTCTCTAGACTCAGCCGGGGATCGAGCCCAAGTTGGCTGTGTGCAAGGCAAGTATCCTACTTGCTGTATTATCTCCTTGTCCCCCCCACCCCCAAGAAGCCACCAGAAACCATCCTCAGACAGCTAGAAGGATCTCCGGCTCTGGAGGGGATGTCCTGTCCCTCCCTGCTTTCCCCTTGCACCAGGAATGACTTAGAGCTCCGACGTCACCCCACTTGCCCCCTTTCTCTCCTACCCAGCGTTCCTGCGGGTTCCCCTTGGCTGAGACCATGGACCCATGGCCAGACAAAACCCAAGCCACCACCGCTGCCTCCTCTCTCTCTCTCTCTCTCTCTCTCTCTCTCTCTCTCTCTCTCTCCCTCTCTCTCTCTCTCTCTCTCTCTCTCTCTCAAAGGCAAAAGGAGTGCATGTGTGCGCGCCCAGCCAGCCGGGCTGCAGCTGAGCAGACAGCAGGTCCCACACCAGGCCCGGGCTCTGGCCGGCTGCGGCAGGCGTCCGGCAGCTATGACTTATTAATGGATTACCACCCTGATATTTAAATGTGAGTCGTAATGAGGGCCATAAAACATTGATGATAATAGCAATTATTCCACCACCCCAACGACGGAAACTGCGTTCGGGTGTTCGCTATCTGCCGCTGGCCCAGGGATGCCGAGGGATGCGGTGGCCTCTGAGAGGTCCGTCTCCAGGGCAGCTCCTGCTTTTCCTGATAAACACAGATCCGTGGGATTTCCGGACCACCCTGCAATGTCCCCCATCAGTCCAGCCTCTGTGATGTCCCCCCATCAGCCGAGCAGAGGTGGAGGGGGAGGTCAGGGGGTGAGTGGGAAGGAGGCGGCTCGAGCTGTTGGCTCTGAGGTCTGCCTCTGTCTGCTGGCGGCAGCGGGGGAGGCGGGGGGAAGACAACACAAGTATGTTCGGAACCGCCCCGAGCTTCCTGCTCTGTCACGAAGGCCCGATGGGCCGAAGTGCTCCGGCTGCAGCAGCGGAGGCCATCAAAGAGATGACGCCAGCCACACCAGCAGTCCGAGTTCCCCCTGGCCGGCACAGTGAATGACTCTGGGCTCTGCTATTCTTTTTCTTTTTGGGTCACATCCGGTGATGCACAGGGGTGACTGCTGGCTCTGCACTCAGGAATCGCTCCTGGTGGTGCTGGGGGACCCTATGAGATGCCGGGGATTGAACCCCGGTTGGCCACATGCAAGGCAAACGCCCTCCCGGCTGTACGATCGCTCCGGTCCCCTGGACTCTGCTATTCTGTCTCTCCTGCGGCCTCCAGCCCCCTCCGGCCCCCACCCCAGGAAGCAAGGGGTGCCCCCCACGCCAGCCTGAGTCCAGGATGGAGGCTGAGGTCAGTGGCCCGAGTTGCTGGACCAATGGCCCGTAAAGGCAGTGACTGGAAGTCACAGACCCTTTCACTCCGTTTTCAGTTCCCAAGTCGATGGGGGGGGGGGCTCACAGTGGACCCCTGGCAGGGGAGGGGGTGAGGGTGTGCATCTCCTCCTTCCCTGGCTTCTGTGACCCTCAGGGGTCACCCCCGTTCCTCGGCTCCTCTCTGGAACCTGTTCTCAATGTTGCCGTTCCCACCCCCCAAGCTCCCCCCCCAACCCCCATGCACTCACTCACTTTCTTGGCCTCTGCCTCCTTTTCTTGGGAGGGCCCAGCCAGCAGTGCTCAGGGCTGACTCCTGGCTCTGTACTCAGGGAGCACTCTTGGCAGTGCTCGGGGAGACCCTCTGGGGAGTCTGCATGCCAGCCCAGGGCCGTCCCCGCTGTGCTATGTCTCTACACCTCACCCCCTCCCTACCCCCCTACCACCCCGAGATCTCTTTTGGAAGAGGCTTTCCTGCCTGGGACAACCCCCCCCCCCACCCCTGCCGGGGACCTGACACAGTGCCCAGCCCTCCCTAGTGGGGGGCGGCTGTACTTACTGCCAGAAGACCACCCTGCCACATACACCGTCCGCCCCTGCCCACCCCTCCCCCGGCCGCTGGCCTGCATGCCCCCCCACCCCCGGGCCCCAGATAACCATCTCAGGCCTGTGGCTCCAGCCGGCTGCAGCCACGCCGCCCTGGCCGCCTTAATAAGGCTGACATTTCCCTCCGTCTCCTCCCATTAGGACGTCGCTTCATCACTCGGGAGCAGCGGTCCTGGCTCTGGGGGGGCGGGGACGGGGGGGGGAGCTCTGTGCGGGGTGTGGCTGGCCCGGATGTGACAGGGTTATCTGGGGGGTGCATAGGGGCACTGTACCAGGCAGCCCCACAGGGCACGTCGGTGTGTATGTGTGTGTGTGTGTGTGTGTGTGTGTGTGTGTGTGTGTGTATGTGTCTAGCCAACTCCTCTCCACACAGTGCGGGGCTGAGGCTCTCTGGGTGCCGCCAAAGGGATGCGGGGGGCTCTCTGGCTAGAGAGGGGCTTAGGTCTCAAGTCAAGGCAGGCTGTACACATCAGGGGCCTCTTGGGGGAGGGGGCTCGGCCGGGGGTGGGGGGAGGGGGTGTGGGTGTCAGTGGCCACGGCGAAAGGGGTTCTGCTGACAGTGAGCCTGGCCGTGCCCTGACCAGCAGCATGCAGAAAAGCAGGGTCCCAGCGGCCCGCACCCGGAGCCTGGGAGAGGCTGCACCCTCCGCCCCCTGGCTGGGGGGAAGCAGCGAGCCTCCCTGTCCGCCCACACCAGAGAAGGGGGTTCGGGGGCTCAGCCTGACTCTCCCTCCTGCTGGCTTTGGCGTGGGGCTGTCCTCTGGCTCTGATGTGAACCAGGTGGCGTGTCTTGCTCTCGCTCAGAGGGCACTGAGCAAGGCACCCCCTGGGCCCCCGCACACCCGGAATGGGGGTGGGCTGCCCCCTTCGCGCGCTGAGATTTCAGGAATGTGACTGCGGGGCTGGTGGGCCCTTATTTAAGGGGTGTGTGCATGCTCTGTGTGTGTGTATGTGTGTATACGTGAGTGTGTCTGTGTGTGCATGGTGTGTGTGTGTGTCTATGTGTGTGCATGAGTGTGTGTGTGATATGTGTATGTGTGTGTGAGTGTGTGAGAATGTGTGTGAGTGTGTGCGTGTGTCCAGGGAGACACACACGGACGGCTCCCTGGACGCATGGATAGAAACACCAGAGCAGAGGTCTGGTGGGGTCACCTGTCTCCCACTTCCTGCCGCTGACTAATTCTTTTCTGCCGTTTCATGTCTA